ACTGACTTGCCCGCCTTACCTCGGACCTTACATTTGACGAGACAACCATCCGTATTCAAGCATATCAGTAAGCACAGAAAAAGAATGTAAATGTAGGATGGAACAGGGGTGCAGGGTTCGATTCGGGCTCTGGCCTTCCTGTGTGGAGTTTGCATGTTCTCCCTGTGCCTGCGTGGGTTTTCTCCGGGTACTCCCACATTCCAAAAACATGCATGGCAGGTGAATGGCACACTCTAAATTGTCCCTACGTGTGACTGTGAGCGCGGACGGTTGTTCGTCTATGTATGCCCTGTGATTGTATGACAACCAGTTCAGGGTGTACCCCGCCTACTGCCCAAAGACAGCTGGGATAGGTTCCAGCACCCCCACGACCCTTGTGAGGATAAGCGTATCGGAAAATGGATGGATGGATGTTGGATGGGGACAGAAGTGCATGGTAATCTACATGTGAGGACAAAACCTGAGGGAAAGGCTTACTGCAATACCGTGAGCTTTCCCACAATATCGCAATAATTATTGTACCGTGACAGCAATACCACGATAAAACAAAACTGTGAGCTTTCGTTGTTGTCGCATCCCAACAGGTAATAATGAGATACTTTTACAAAGAAAAGCAGGGCTTGCCCGATGAAAATGTAATTTGGCCTGCAATATAATCTGCTAGAAAGTGTCTCTTATTCTGAGGCCATGTAGTATATTTTTTCATTTTCATATTCCTTGGCTCCTGCAGTCATGAAATGGACCCGACATTGGACTACCCATTGTGGCAGACTGAATCGAGTTTCTGTTTTGAAGTGGTAATGCCTCTCTTAATAGTTGAGATGAGTGCTATGGGGAGACTCAACACACTAACATGGTGTGACAGTCTTTTGTCATAAAATAAGACCACTTTCTCCACATAAAGGACAACCTCAATTTCAAAAGACCTCACCTGCAGGGGGGAAAAGCGAGTAATTATTAAGGATGAATGAAACAATTATCAAAGAGTTAATTAGTGAAAGAATGTTGCTGTGTTCAAAGGCAAGTTTTTGTAGTTTGACTTGATACTTAATACTTAATAATGTGGGGACCAAGACCAACTTCTCCCTGAAACTAGTAAATATTCTTTCAAAGTATAAAGTATATTTTCTTCATTTTAAAGACACATTTGAAGTGGTCATTATAAAAAACCACTCCAAGACTTAGTAAATGTTTTGTACTACAGGGTTCAATCCTAGGGCTCTTGCTTTTCCTAATTCATCCAAAAGACGATAGTGAGTCATTTCTATAACCAGAGAGTTCTGATTTTTTTGAGCTATTTAATAATGCTTAATTGAACTCAATATCATGATCATTTTTAGACCCTTTTTTTTTCTGAATTTTAGGTGCCGCGTTGGCAAAAATACTGTTTAGTATACTGTACATGCTGCCTAAGATAAACAGTGCATCACGTGTTGTAACAAATGTCTGACATATAGTACATAGCGCTCCTGCTGCAGGGCTAACTTCACTTTTGACTTCGAGGCCATGTAGCAATGCAGGTCTAATTTGTTATCAACTTCCTGCACTGCCTCATTTAGCTGAAATAGCTGCAAAATCAGTCCGTCAATTATGGTTTCTGGACGCTATCACATCTCCTGACAGAGCTTGCTTGGGGCTACCCAATGTGTCAGTCACTCAATGTTATGCTAATTACAAAATGAATTAGCCTACATAAAACTTATAAATGCAAAAGCATGTGGATTTATCAAAAGACAGCAAACCTGTCTGCTTAATTGGAGGACTTAGACCTTCGAATATGTGGCACTGAGCTTTATGGACTGGTTCAGAGCCAATCATTTTATTTTCCCATTTGTGTGTGCAACAGCTTCCAAGAAGAGGTATCATCACCATGATGAGAAGAACCTACAGACATCTTTATGAGAGAAGAACCCCGACCCTGCACAATTTAAAGGAATACATGAGGTAGCTTTGTCTAAGCCATTTAGAAACTTGTGATCATTTGCTACTTAAGATGCGATTTCTTTACTTTGTCTTTGAATGCTGGTGTCAAACGGACATACCTCCAAAAGCATCACTTTAGTAATTTGTAAAAAATAACAACCTCATATGTGGACTGACCAGTACTATAGATTTGTGGGGAAAAAAATGGAAAATTTACCAACGGCAGCAATATGCAACTACTTTCACTTAGAGGGGGAGTCAAGTCAAAAATGTTCTTTACAATATGTTCTTTGTACCTCCACTAGTCTAAATGTTTTTCTGTTCTTTGCACCTCCAATAGCCTAAATGGTTTTCTGATTAATAATGCATTGGTGGAAAATTCATGAAGCAGAAAACACACCCCTTTCTATTTCTCAGGGGGCTGCCATTCTGCCTTGTATTATCACTTGCTGTCAACTGAAAATGACATCACAGAGCCAAGCAAGGGCTCCGTGCTGAACCTAACATAACCCCAAACCCAGAAAACAGGTGAGCCGTGACTGTCATGAACTGAGCCTTTAGCCACATTTTCAGTCGACAGCAAGTGGCAGTACAAGGCAAAATGGCCGCCCCTGAGATGGCTAAAACGAGTATTTGTCCCATTACTGTGTTTAGACTAGTGGGGGGTGCATAGAACATATTTTTGTAAAGCAAATTTATGACTTGACTTAACTTTTAAAAACAGCATTTGTCATCATGCACTAATCAACATTATTAATATTACTTAAAAAGAACTACAATAACAATAACTCAACCTGTAATATTCCCAAGTGATATATTTCAGCCTTTGTAATGAGTTTCTAAAATACTTTTGCCACATTGTCTTTCAAACAAAACAAAAAAAAGAAAGTAAAAAGTAAACTCAAACCGTTAAACATGTAATGCGAGCTCAAGACAGTAGAAATTGTTGATGCTGACAGCCAGCTTCCTGTCTCCTTCCATTTCTCTCCAAATAAATCATGTCATCAAGATGTCAAAGCATTTTCTTTACAAAACAATGCCTACAGGGACAAACAGACCTCTTTAGTTCTTCACAGCTGTCAGAATGCTTTTGCATCTTTTGCAAGGATAACCTGTTCAGACTGTTTCTGTAAAAAGCCTGCCACAATCTTGTCTCGGTGTTATGAGCATCCACAAATTAAAGATCTAAGCCATTGCATAGCAAATGAGCCAGTCAATTAGAACCTTGAAATTGATTCTGGCCATACCGGGGACGATTGATCCTCAAAATATTTGTCACCAAGCCCCTGTCAAAAGTGAATCGGACTGGTATAAACAGAAAAACTAAATCCGCACAGCATGTAGTGGCATTCAAGATACTCGATAATCAATCCTTGACAATTACAGCTTATTTGAAATCATGTGTCTCTGTTCATCCTATTTGTAGAGGTCTGTATTTTTCCGCATTTCGGTTCGAAAGTGACTGCTGTAGGACTTTACCGCATTTACAGTAAGTTCTCCGATGGAAATGAAATTAGCACTGCTAAACAAGAAGAGGAGGATGGATGCCAGACTGCTGTCAGGTCCCATCATCATTCTGGCAAAACAGAAAGCAGGTGCCAGGAAGGCAAGAACCTCGGCTCAGGCTAAAACCAGCCACCAACACTCTAAGAGGCTTTTTCAAAGTACAGCGCCGGTGCCAGTCACAATTGCTTTTCTTAGAGTGCTCAAACTTGCCCAGTCCACTCAAAGTTTAGGTAAGAATATAATGGACTATACAATATTGCCCATAACCCTTGATATTTATCAAATTCACTTCATGAACTCAATGTCATATGAGAAGAGGACATTTTTCTTAAAAAACATTCACTGATAATATCAAAAAATAACATCTGATGTCTCGTATGATATACACGTCAAATCAATAAAACATCTTTTGATAGAAAATGAAAATGAATGAACCTAAAACATTAAATAAATACATATATACATTAATAAAAATAACTCAATAATTTAAAAGAACAACGTACCAAATCTGTTGATATAAAATTTAGAGCATTTGTTTGATTTTGTTTTTACAATAGAACTGCTGCTCGTACAAACCTATTCATCAAATCGAATTGAGATCAGACCTTCCCGTAATGATTGGATTGATTGATTTTCTGAAAATGAATAAATAAATACATAAATAAATAAAAGAAAGCAACTGTCATAAGAATCAAACATTGAAAGGAATATCTTTACAGTCGCACTTTCTGTTGGATATTTGTTGGATTTACATTTATAGTAAGCACAATTGTTTAGTTTGCAGATTTGGTACTGATGTATAGAAGAAAAAGAACGTGATCCCATATCACTGCTGATGGTGACACATCATTTCACATCCACATCATGATGACGATGCTATCAAGGAGCATATTTATTTAAACTAATTTTTTACAAATTACGAGCGAATGGCTAAGAGTAACATCATTACGGTAACCATGAAACTCCTAAATTTGCGTGCCTTTGAAGAGAAAAAAAACCCCAACATCGTTGTCAAGGTTACCTGTTTGCAACTATTGCAAAATGCAGAGTGCAGTGAATGCTGTCAGCAAAATACATCAAGAAACAAAGAACTCTGATTTTAAGACTCACCAAAAATGGAAGGAAGGGAAAGACCAGTACTGCAGCTGCAGTGTTTCTTTTTAAATACAATCACATGTTTGGAGGCTACACTTTATGCTAAATTACTTTTGAAACCACTCGATCCTTGATGCCTACCAAGGCGGTAAGTTAGAAACTTCAGGCACTGCATTTAGGAACATGTACACTTCAAAGGTATGAAACTCATACCTGCGGAATTATTTAAGAGTTGGCTTGAAAGCAATGTACCCTTCATTAAAAAGCAGAGCCAAAAGTCCTTTAAAACTGCAGCACTTCAAAACTAAGGGGAGGGCTTTCCATTAACTCAATAGAAAAGGGCTGCAGGACTGAATGGTGGGTGTCTGGGTGTGTTTATGTTCCTCTATGTCTTTGCGGCAGAAATGGCCACGGATCCATTAGCCTGATTTGTCACAGCGCAAGCACCCCAAAGATCTCTTATCAGCACAATGTACCTCTCGAGTGGCGAGTCTGTCGCTCATCTCCTCCGCCTTTGCAGTGTCCCCTTCAGCTATGGCCTTCTCTATGCTCTTTTCTAGGCCGGACTGCATGAAGAGAGAAAAAAAAAATCAGGCTTTTACAGTGGGGAAAAAAAAAAATCAAAGAGTAACTTCAAAAGTCCCCAGGGCCGTATATTTAATATGATTGCTATTACTACAAATATGTAGATTTTCCCCCAACAAATGAAAACCTTTTTGATTGGATATTAGTGGGGAAATCTTAAAAATGCTACAGGAGATTACCAAACATAAATGTCACTTTAATTACAAATTTCCATTACGGGACGAAGCAGAGCTTTGTGATTGCAAGGCAGTTCTGCTGTGATGAGCCTATCTGTGGAAGCAGACCGCCAGATTTCTTCTGCCTCAAAATATCATCACATTAAAAAAAAAAAATACAAGTGTAGGAGGTTGCTGCAACTGTGTCTCCTTTGATGAAACCTTTGTGGACCTCATCTCAAACTATATCGCATGAGGAAAATAGTGTTGATTCCCCCAAAACATCCACACCTCATCATGACGTTTCGTAACTTGCTATATTTTTTAATATTATCAAAATCAGTGCAGGGCGTAAACCGCCTCTCGCCCACAGTCAACTGGGATCGACCCTAGTTTGGAGAAAGCGATGTCGAGGATGGACGGAAATTGTAATGCAATCATGAGAAAATGTATTTGAGGGATGATGAGTGCCTCATTATACAAGTGTAAAAAAAAAGTTTTGGATTCATGGAGCTTCTTAATCTTTTCATGGCTGCACCCATCGAAATGAAACTAAATCGGTACAGTGTCAATTAAATGAAATATTAATATACCCAAATAATTACGACAATCATTTCAAACTGAAATGGGAGCAGCTTTTATGCTCTGGGTCAGTTATAATGCTCATTAATCTTGCACCCATTTTGCTTCATGTGCAGTTTCCAATGCATCTGAATATAAAAATGCACAACTTGTGAGGCATGCCGGAGGAAAATGTGCTATTTTCATCGCTTCCATAAGTACTTAGTCAAACCCTTGTTCCTCTTGCGAAGCAAAATTTGGGTTTTTATGAGGATTTGCACAGTGGAGGAGAACCCTACATCTGACTTTAATCTCAACCACACAAGAAAGGAATGTGCCTCTAATCTTATCACTAAATGTGGCTGAACATAATCCTTAATATTCCACTCAATGTCAGGTTGAGTTTCCCGGAGGATTTTTCTAATCCAGATGTCATATCATATAAAACAATGAAAGAACATGGTGGCATGGAAACACAAAGGATGTGACAGTGTTACCAACAGCAGGGACAGACACGGCGCTAAAACTCACTCGCAGATAAGGTGGAAGGCGGAGGGTTTTATTACCTTTAGAGGGGGGTTGGAACATGCAGGGGGATGAAATCGATCATTTACACCAAAATATTGCTTAAGCCCATCCCAGTGCTTCTCCAGCTCCTCCTGACGCTCTCTGCTGACAGGAAATGATAGTTTCACAGTCATGTGGACGACAGCATTTTAATGGCCCTTCAACATTACAGTATATTCAGTTCTCATTTTTGTGCTGTGCATGATGGGTATCATCATAATTATGGATGAAAGGATATCAGGACAATTTGTACCTTGTCGCTGTTGGCTCTTTGCCCTCTATTTCTGTCAGGTGACAAACAGACACTGTTAGTCATATACAAACCAGCATGTCCCGATCACGCTTCAGGCAATGCATTAAGAAAAAAAGAGTGTGCATCCGATTTTTCTCAAATTAATATGGTAATGTAAATACATCAATGTGTATGTGTTATATGTTGTTATATACCGGTATGTTTAAATTATAAATCAGTGCCAAATGCTATTTGTAATACTCTCAAAATAAACTATACATTCTCTCTATCTTTTTTTTAACTACTAAATTTGATGATACACATATTGAACATTTCAATATGTGTTGGTCCGTTTCAGAACTTGTTTATCATGACAGCTTAAGCAACCACCACAGCAACCATCTTTTTCACACGACATCAAATCAGCTGAAATTCACGTGATCAACCCCAATTTCCGATCACGTGATGGGATCGGGACCTCTCCATCAAGGTACACATTATCACCAACATATAAACACATTGTTTCTAATTCTCTACACTAATTATTTTACTGTTATTTCAATTGGATGCATAAACAATATTGGAAGACCAACAATCAAGCACAAGGTGTCCGCAATGTTGTTTCTACTTAACAGGATAGAGTTTGTATGTTGTTTAAACTAAGTGAGGAGCTGTAAACCATATCTGGTTAGGCTGTTGCATGTATAGGATTTCATTTCCTCAAATAGTGACCTTCAGTCTACTGGACGGTGAACTTGAACACTCGAAACATCATAGCACTTCTCCTGAAATAGATGCCAAACCTTTTTTGACAATAAAAAATAAATAAACTGTGTTCCGGTTGGCTCTCTGACTACTCCACAGTACAGTAGTGTTGTGTGAAAGAATTTTCATGGCGTAGGGGCAAATCGTCAGAATAAATTAAATTAGATTAACATATTTATTTCCATTTTCTGAATTTCCTCTTCACTGTTTTGTTTGATGAATAGTTCAGAAAAAAATATATGGTTAAGTATAATTTTATTGAACATTATTGTTCAGTGTTGAGTAAAGATCTCTAGACTAATTAAACACCTTTTTCCAAATTCATGGCTGGTCACCACTGCAGTTCACTTAAATAAACAGTTATTTACAAAAACTGTCAACACCTTTCTTGCATTGTCGCCTTTTCCTTCTTTTTTTCCTCGGGATTGTCGTCATCTTCGTCTCCTCTTTCTTCTGACGCAGCTCATTAAATTTCTTTGAACACACAGCACAGTAAGTACCCAAAAGTTATGCAAACATATATCAAGTGGAATAACAACTGCTTCAGACGTATATCCCGTTCAAATATACAGTACAGTACAGTATAGGCTTGACATACAGCGGAAACGCTGGATAAGAGCAATTAAAGGTCTTCCCCAGTTGCATTATGACACAAAGGAACAGCAAAGCACAGATGAACAGTAGCTCACGTGAAAAAATAAAAAAATTAAAAAAAAACAGTAGCTCACGTGAGACCTCATATTATGTACAACATACTTGCCACATTTCCTGGGAAACACCAGGCAGGCAACCTGTTGGGCGGTCATTCGTAACATGTGTAACCGTAGGCGTCTTCACGTTTACTTCCACTTCATTCTCATGATGCTCCTCTTCCTGGTCATCCGGACTGAGGTCGTCTTTTGTTAAACCATTGGGTAGAAGACCGCTGTACATACTGATAGAGGACACGTTACGGGAAAAGTATGTTATTCCATTACTGTGATAAAACGGACCGAATTTGTGATAAATTCCATATTTCTCAAGCAGCCGTGAATAGAAGCTCACGTTTCCGTGTAAACATGTGACGTCATGAGAAATGGTGCACCGATTGGTTGTGACTTGGTCAGATGACCTGAATACCCAATCACATTCGTCCCGGCAATGTTGGATCGCAAGAGACATCACTACGACCACTACTACAGTACTACTACTACTACTACTACTACTACTAGTAATAATAATAATAACAATAATAAGAATAATTATAATAATAAACTACTATAGGTACTGCATTTAAAAATAATTCATTGCAATCATCACACTGAATTACAACTTTTATTCTATTCAAAATTTCAGAATAATATGATACATTTAAAACTTAATTTCCAACAATGCACTACCTGTATACATTGGCTTGCGCAGTTTTATGCTGTCCTGTCCTTCAACCATTTGACATAAATAATCATTGCGTGAACGCAATGAGTATTGCGTTCACGCAGTTCTTTTGAACTGAGAGCTAATTCCTGAACACAATTTGCTAATTGCATTTTTTTTTTTTTTTTTTTTAAGAAACCCCTTTCCCATCAATCCTTCCATTACAGTATACGAACTGATTGTCCTCAAAAGGGTCACGGGCGTGCTGGGACCTCTGTATTGTTGTAAAAATGTCTGTTTAAAAATGATCATACTGGCCAGTTAACTAATGATTACAGTATAATTGATGTTTGCGGTGTAAGATCCTAGTCTGCTAGGAGAAGTTGCAAGCCAAGAAGCAAATGAAGATCCAGTGTTCAGTCAGCCAAATAATTTGCTGTTCATAGGTGGTTGAGCTCCGCTGAAACAGTTCCAACCATACTTCTGTGAAAATTGTACTCAAGGTTCAAGGTTCAAGGTTCAACTTTATTGTCAAATATGCATACATTGACATGTAGCATGGATGAAATTTATTTCTCTCAATCCTCAGCAAACAGTGAAAGACAATGTAGTCTAAAACAGTACAAACATATAGACGATATATACAATAAAAGACGATATATACAATAAAAGCAGCATAAAACAATGGCACTTGAGGCTATTGAGGATAAAAGTGACGTAGAGCATTGTGCAATATGCAATATGCAGATGCCGGATAATGAGGGGAGGGTCATAGTCTGTGACAGGAGGCAGGGGTCGGGCAGAGGCAGAGGGTGGGGAGTTTGGGCAGAGCACGGAGGGAGTTGAGTCTCCTGACCGCCTGGTGGAAGAAACTGTCTTTGAGCCTGCTGGTTCTGGCACGGAGACTTTGCAATCTCCTTCCCGACGGCAGCAGGCCGAAGAGGCTGTGGGATGGGTGTGTGGGGTCGCCTGCGATCCGGATGGCTTGGCGGGTCAGCCGGGAGTAGTAAATGTCCACGAGTGGGGGCAGAGAGACACCAATGATCTTCTCAGCTGTTCTCACGGTGCGCTGCAAGGTCTTTTGGCAGGACACAGTGCAAGCACCATACCACACAGTGATGCAGCTGGACAGGATGCTCTCAATGGTGCCTGTATAAAATGTCTGCATGATGGGGGGCGGGGCTCTTGCTCTCCTCAGTTTGCGGAGGAAGTACAGGCGCTGGTTGGCTTTTTTGGCCAGTGATGCGGTATTGTGGCTCCAGGACAGGTCTTCAGAGATGTGCACTCCCAAGAACTTGGTGTTGCTCACTCTCTCCACTGTGGCACCGTTAATGGTCAGTGGAGCATGCTGGGAGTGCGCCTTTCTGAAGTCCACAACAATCTCCTTTGTCTTCTCTGTACTGTACACTAAAGCACGTTTTCTGACATTTTGACTTCCTCTGTTCTTTTTTGCTCTGTGTTGCACGCTTAGGCTACTTCTTGTCCGCCTTTAGTGATAACGATGCTTATTATAAGTGTATTTCATTTGCCACCACAGACATGAGAATCTAGTAACTTGAGGAGAGGATCTGCACCTCCACTTGGAAGGATGTTTATCTGCATCAGCTCCTCCAGCTTCTTTGCACAATCCCAAAACATGCATTTAACACTGTGCATTGTCCTTAGGTGGAATGTGAGTTTGAATGGTTGTTTGTCTGGCAATTATGGTCTCGCCCAAAGTCATCTATGATGGGCTTGTGCTCACCCGTGACCATAATGAGGATACGCAGTACAGAAAAATTGATGGATGGACGATACACAAACAATACAAACACTACCATTTATTTTGTTACATGTTAAACATGATTTAATACAATTGAAGGGAATAGTAACACTGCTGCCACTATAATAATAATAATAATAATAAATACCTAAAGAAAATAAACAAAGTCATTGTATATTTCATTATTATGGGTAGAGTATTTTATGAACAGTCATGTTCAAGCAAAAAAAATTGGCAACAACCCAACCTAGTTTGCAGCCCCCAAATTACTGTTTAAGGACACTTGCAGGTTCTAGTGATGTACTTCTAAATGAGGTGAGGTCCATAAATTATAAGCACGCCTTCAAATGTGAACCTATTTTTGTGCCATATTCCTGGTGAGATAAGCTTCCTACTATTGGCCCTCATTGCTTTGGGCATTACATTATTATTAGGATGATTAGCATGCAAATCTTGTATAACCCAGAGCGCTGGCACATGCACATCTACCCTCAAATTGCTCTTTCACATTTGTTCCCATTAAGTTTTCTTTTGGGAATGTCATATTGCAAAGCTGCGGTAAGATTTTGCTTTGTGTGAAGTGGACCGAGAGTGACACATACAGCACACATGTTAGACTTAAAAAAAGTTTCAGGAAAGCAAATGTTTTCAGGTAAACTACTCATATTTTTTATTGATTGCTTAATCTAAGGGCGGCCAGGTGATTCAGTGGTTAGCGCATTGACCTCACAGTGTAGAGGTACCGGGCTCAATTCCAGCTCCGGCCTCCCTGTGTGGAGTTTGCATGTTCTCACCGGGCCTGCGTGGGTTTTCTCCGGGTACTCCCGTTTCCTCCCACATTCCAAAAACATGCATAGGCTAATGGAACACCCTAAATTGCCCTAGGTATGATTTTAAGTGCGAATAGTTGTTTGTCTACGTGTGCCCTGCGACTGGCTGGCAAACAGTTCAGGGTGTCCCGAAGACAACTAGGATAGGCTATAGCACCCCTTGCAACCCTTGTGAGGATAAGCGGATCGGAAAATGGATGGATGGATGGATTGCTTAATCTATTATTTTTCCAGTTTTGTGGTGCCAAAATATTCAAATATGTAAATTATTGCTGTGCAATTGACCTTTAACAGTAGATGTTTGTGCATATGTCATTGCTATCCAGAAAATGTATGTATTTGTTCTTTTTCAAAGGGGGAGGATATTCTTTTCACTGTCAGTTCTGAACTCCGATACCTGGGCCAGATTTGAGTCAAATAATGCTACCTGTAGGAATCTTGAAAGCTATAGTACAACTTTGCCAAGGTGCAATATTGTTTGTCTTTCAAACTACCAGTAGTTGCACTCCAATCAAATTGTGACTTACTTCAAGATGCAATTAATTCATTCTGTGCCGTTCATACAATTCTCAACCATTATTGAATCAACTTCATCAGTATTATGGCCGTCTATTATTTCTGACCAAAAATTATTTTTCAGAAATGAGGCATCATTGTGAGTTAAAAAAAAAAAGGAAGACAAAATCAGAGGGACCTTGTTGTGTCCTTGACCTCCTGACACCGTAAATGAGAGATGAGTTTTTCAAAGTGCACTGCACGTTAAACCGAACAGATAAGCCTGCTGCTGTATTTAATGTCATCTTCAACATGGAAAAATCTCAAACTCATCCTCAAAATATTCAACCATGAACTAGTATCACTCACTCAGCATTATGGGACTTAAATTACATGTGTGACGATTTGATGAGCACAGTCGCTTCTGAAAGTAAATTTGAGTGCTCACGCCTCACTCATGCGACACTATTTTTGCTGTTACCGGTGCAAATGGTGTATGTATTGATCACCAGACTTTGTGCTCTAATTCACACTTGAATAATGGCACGGAGACTTCCCGAGAGCGACCTCTGTGTCGTTCTCTTTCCCTGCCACGTGCTCCGGGTGGTTATTTCCATCATTTCTTGGTAATTTGGAGTTGGCTGTTTAAAACTTCGAGTTTCTTATTAAGTTTTGGCCATGGTGGATAAGAGTCAGGCCTGTAAGAGCACAGAGATAAACTAATCATCTTAAAACCCTAATTATTAGTATCTTGCTGTGACAGACTGTTTTTTGCGAGGCGACCAAATTGAGCCTCAAATGAGGGGAGGCAAATCTGCAGAAGTGGTAATAATTTTAAGTCATTTCGATCTGGCGTGGTGTGGCAGAATTCATTAGAGCAGATTAGCACTGTGTGTACGAAGTAAATTAGATATCTAATAGCAAACATGGAGGTCCTCGCCAATAGGAGGTAAGATGTTAAGAGGTGATAGTAGATGTTTTAACACTTGTGCTATTTAGAGCGATCGCTATTTAAGCGTCACTAAACTCTTGACCTTTCACCTCACTGTGTATTATAGTCGTATAGAAGTGAGATTAGTGATCGGCAAATCCAAAATGTTTATTTATTTGTTAGAATATGAGGTTAATTACGTGTGTGAGTAGAAGGTTGGGGGAACAATACGATGACAAGAAATAATTCGCTGATATAATTACAGCAGAATTGGGTGCACACAATTGTCAGATACATGTGTTGCTTGACCCTGGTTAGCCAGTGAAATAAATCCTCCTTCTATAGCCTTTGTTAATTTGTTTTTATCATCTCCAAGTGGTGTTTGTGCAGGCAGCTCAATTTGCATGTGTAATTCCACTGTGCAAATTGACAACAAGTAGATAATTCGAGGAAATAGGCTAGTTGCAGGCCGCTGCTATCTTCCCGAGCCTGTTCATTTTGAGGAACCGCTGAGGCATGAAACTCATACATCAACTATTTTCTGACAACGCTCTGGCTTATTGTCCCCTAAAATGTCATTACAGCCATTATTTATGAAGCTAATTCATTTATTAAACCATATTTACTCTGACGGAATTTGTCACATTCTATCCGTATCCTGAGCATTGCTTTGGAACAGTGTCTCTCAATGAGTATGTATG